CAGCTTTGTCTGACATACTTTGGACATGTTGTAAGGCGGGATCAGTCCTTGGAGAGGGACGTCATGCTTGGGAGGGTAGAGAGATAGTCCAGGAAGAGAAGACCCTCAATGAGATGGATTGATTGACTATGGTAATGGGGGTAGGTGTGTCAGAGACAATAAGATTGGCACAGGATAGAGCAGGGTTTAGGGCTGCTGTATATAGGGTCGCTATGAGTTACACAGGCAACTCGATGGCACATAATAATGAACAAGTAAGCCATCCCTCCAGGTCTTGTTTTCTTTTATATCCTTTTGTCGTAAGTGGACAAAATAATGAAGAAGGAACATTATAATAGGTGGACAAAAAATAGAGGATGTCAGTGTTTTCTCACCAGTCAAACTAAAGGAATTAGTGTGGAGGACATATTAGTAAGAACATGGGGCGAGCTCTGGCAGCCTAGTGGCCAGAAGCTTCTGTGCAATCCCAGAGGTGAGTGGTTCAAATCCACCAGATGCTCTGCTGGAGAAGGAGGGACAATTCCTCCTGGACCACTCAGATCCGATTTGAAAGTGCACACACACACACACAAAAATAAAAGTTTAAAAAAAGAAGGAACATGGAATCAGAAATCAAAGCCCAAATTCGTTACTGTTTCAATAGTGTTTTGACCTAACCTCTCTGATTCTTGATTGCAATACAAAGGTAACTTTTTTTAAAGTATGAATTTTCAGATGCTTAGTATTAGGCACAATGTGAGTGCTGAATCATCTTGGTAAAGCTCTGGAGGAGCCCAGCTGACTTCCCAGTATAATCGAAAGGCATCAGAAAGGAAGGGCTCCATACACCCACTCAGCCACAGTTAATTCCTTTCTTTTCTAAGAGTGTTTGGAGTCACTGGGGTTCTGTTCTCTCTGGTACAATTATAGCTTAGCACTTCTGGTTATTAGTCACCAGACTCATTCTGGTCCCCCACCCACTCACAAGGGAGCTCAACCTGGGCACAGCATGCCCACTGCTTCCACATGCTTCCCACTCTACAGCTGTTTGCGTCTTTCATCACCACCTCAGTTTTTAACAGTAAGACTACTTAAATTTTTTGATCCAGTTCAATACCTTATCACATTGAACTTAATGTGAATTATTCAAACAAACCTGGGGGTGGGGCGTAGAAATCTCAGCATTTCTTAAGCTAAAGAAGGAACTGAAGAACAAATTCAGGCCTTGAATGCAATGCTTATGGATGCTATGGGCAGGATATAGAATGATACAGGAAGCATTAAAAGGAGATAGAAAGTACAGAGTAGCTATACCAAAAAGAATTGGTTGACACAGAAGAATTTTGAGAAACAACAAATGATCAAGAGGCAGCAGTGATGGAGGAAGTTTAGACTGCTTTCAAGGAATTGGCAAAAAACAAGGCCCCCAGGAATTGATGGCATACCAGTTGACATGTTTCAACAAACAGATGCTGCCCTGGATGAGCTCACCACGTTGAGTCAAGAAATCTGGAGGACAACTACTTGGCCAACTGACTGGAAGAGATCCATATTTGTTCCCATTCCTAAGAAAGGTGACCCAACAGAGTGTAAATTATCAAACAGTATCACACACTAGCAAAATCCTGCTGAAGATCATTCAGAAACAACTGGAACACTACATTAACAGAGAATTACTAGAAATATAAGCTGAATGTAGATGAGGCCATGGCACTAGAGACATTATTGCCAATGTCAGGTGGATCTTGGCTGAAAGCAAAGAGTACAAGAGGAATGTCTGTGTTTCATTGACTATGCAAAGGCATTTGACTGTGTGGACCACAATAAATTGTGGCTAACCTTGAACAGAAATCCCAGAACGAACACCTGATTGTGCTCATGCAAAACTTACTGAGAAGGAGCTGAAACATTTGCTGCAAATTAAAGGCTGTATTCTTTAATGTGGCTTGAAGCTTAACATCATGAAGACAAAGATTCTCACCACTGGGCCAACTGGCAGCACCATGATGGATGGAGAAGACATTGAGGTTGGTTAAATTTCAGTTTGCTCTGTTTCACAGTCCACACTCTTAGCACCAGCAGTTAGGAAGTCAAAAGATGTATCATACTGGGAAAATATGCTGTCAGGGACCTCTACAGACTATTGGGAATTATGCCTTGGAATTCTTTGCCTCCCCAACTCTCCAGCTTCCTTCGTTAATAAACCCCATTGTTGGTACCATAACTGTGAGTCAGCAAAGAATAAACGAGTCTTTTGTTCCTGGTGAGTAGAGCTCTAGAGGCACCATGGAGCTGGGCTGTGGACTGTTTATCTACTTTGTGCTTTGTGGTGGTGAGAGCCTGTGCTATTCTTACTCCCTTAGTCCCTTTCCCTGTGCCATCATGGGCCTGTTTACTCGAGAACAGGTCTAAATCTTTTTGTAGAAGCCTAGTTGTTAATGAGCTAGGACATATTTTAGATCATACTTAGATTCTGGAAGGCACATATTTGAAAATCCCATTTGTTTTTAAAAGAAATAATCAAAAGTTGTATAATTAAGTATTCCTTTTTCAATATATTTATTAGAATTACACTGAAAGAATCTAGCTTAATCTGAGCACTAAAGGAAGGAAGCACTAAAGCTGAGAACCTAGAAGACAGCTACTCTAATGTCCACTATGTGCTGCCTTCTACGGCTGTAACCAAGGTGCCCATAGAACTTGACATTAAAGTCTCTCAATTCCCAATTTAAATACTTGCACATGTTGTTAGTAGGGGCTATTCCTTAGAAAAAACCCATCATACTTGTATAGGTTGAGGGTCAGATAGAGAAAGGAAGACCATCAATGAAATTAATTGACCTGGTAGCAGTTGAAATGGGATTAAGTATATCAGGGATGAAAAGGATGGGACAGGGTTCCGATCTGTTGTTCCTAGGGTTGCTGCTGTAAGTTTTTGACTTGACAACAACACAATATAAAATAAAAATCACTTTTGCCATTATTAAAATAATATATTTAAGAAATAGGCACACTAAAAGATTGGAAAAAGGAATCACTGATTTTGCCCTGCCAAAGAAAACCACTATAAGCATATTTCCTAGAATAATTTTCCCAACGTGTAGGTGCTTTTGTTAGAAGGGAATGGTTGGCCAGAGAATCAGTGTAGGAGGAAGGTAGAGGGGATAGCTGGTGACTGTTGACACAGAAGCAGTGCCTGGGTATCAAGATTCCCATGACCAGTATTTCTTAATTAAAGCAAGGTGAGAAACAATTTACTCTAATGGCAGCTGCAGTCCTGGGGTAACCCCTGTACCTAATGGGAGTGTGTGGTTAGACAAATGGTGGCCGCTAAACAAGGATGTCCTGGGAAGGTAAATCTGCTGGAACTTGCTTTATTTATCTTTGACTGACATGGATGGTCTTTGTACTTATCCATGGGAAAAGACACAATTAAATTTCTTTCTGTAATAAAGACTACCAGAAACTAGGTACTTATCCCATTTAAATAATGGTTGTGTTGTTTTGGTTTTTTTTTGAGAAACTGGAAAATAAAGTCCAAATTATTGTGACGTACACCAGCACTGGCCTCCAGTCCACACTTTTTAGGTATTTCTTTAGGTATTAAGGTTTTTGTTGTTGTATTTTGTAAGATGTCGATGACTTCTGGTGGACTTGCAAAAGCATGAGCCAATTCCTCAGCCATAAACTTTGGAAATAGCCCCGTGACTCTCAACCAGGTGTGTTGACATGGTGAGTGCTGCAGTGGGCTCTTGTGTGGCAGATCTAAATGATATAGCAATGGTTGATATAGAGTTCTTTGTATTAAAAGAAAGGAGGAGAGTGTATAGAAAATAAACATCATTTTCAATTTCTTGAGTGAGAGTATAGGAAACCATTCATATTAAGTCAAGAACCTTCCTTGAATATGCTCATGCAAAGATACACAAGAAGATTCTAAGCTGACGAAAGCAGGTACAGAGGCATGCTTTTGGAGAGAAGAACAATGAAAGCCAACAAGAACAATTTTAGTTAAGCCAAAGTGCCATCTGAGATATGGCAAAGAATCAGTTAGGTGTGGATAACGAAAGTACAATCTAAAGATGAAGCTATGAGAACAGGTAGATTTTACTGCTATTAGGAAATGATTTTTGTTGTGGTTGTGTACCATCGAGTCAGAACCGACCCTCCAGTGCGTGTTCAGAGGCAGTAAACTACATGAGAGGAAATTGCCCATCTTTTCTCCCGTGTAGCAGCTGGTGGACTTGGACCTAGAAAAATCAACTTCATTGTCCTCCTTTGTAGAGGAGAGGAACAAAAAGAGGGCTGCTTCTCTCTGGCAAAGAGATAGATGAGGAGCCAGAGAAAGATGGCATTGAAGCTAGTTCTCAGCAGTCCTTGGCAAGCAAGCACTACCTGAAGCAGGACAATGAAATACCTTAGGGTGGGCTGGGTCACATTGAACTCAATGAGCCCTCTGAAATGAGCCTGGCACTCCTGTGCCATTTACAGATTTCAGTACAGAGAGCAGAACATCCATGACTTCCTGCAGGAGGAAAGAAAAGCAATTCTTTGGGACTATTACATTGCTATTTATGTTGAAATCTTGATTTTTTTTTTTTTAATCACTGGAGAGTCACTGGTGTGAAGTGTTGTGAAACTGTTATTCTCACATGTTGTATCTTTCCTTTTTTCCCCTCTCCAGTCAATTAGCTCTTTTACCAAATTAAGGTTTAAAAGATTTATAAATATATAAGATTTTTTAAAAATCAATACATAGATGAATTGTGCAGTACCCTCCTAGAGCTAAATTTCAAGCAGGTCAATTGCAGGTCTGTTCTTCCCACATTTAGAAAATTAAAGGAAATGTAGTTGTTGTTCCATGTTCAAGACATCTGTCAGAGGTTGAGGTTGGCTTTGCATAGGGCTAGGTTCAAAGCCACTGTTCAGGGTCTCTAAAAGTAGTAGTTGACTCAATGGCACATAGCGACAAATTGAGAAATGTCTTGCGTTTTCACTTTTCTTCCCCCTTCCCCATTTAGGTTTTCCTAGGACTCTAGTACAGGCAGAAGCCCTGGACAGAATCTGTGAGCTGGATCTAGTGATTTCTTTGCATATTCCGTTTGAAACACTCAAAGATCGTCTCAGCAGACGCTGGATTCACCCTCCTAGTGGGAGAGTATACAACCTGGAGTTCAATCCACCTCATGTGCATGTAAGTATATGCAAAGTGCTTTCATAAATTAGCAAGAAAAGGAAGAATATTTCCACTGAGTGAGTGATTGAAAAAGGAACTCTACATGACCAATTGGTAGTTTTGTTAGGTGCCATTGAGTTGAGTACTCACAGTGTATATGGCCAGCTCTTAGTAATTGTATATGACCAAGGATTATGTTTTAATGCTCACTGACTATTAGTCAGAAAATGCAAATTAACTTCGAAGAGTCACTATCAGGGCACCTAACAACATTAACAATTGAATGAAAAAAAATGTTAGAATCAGCACTGGATTAGGGAGAGGAGTCAGTGATTCTTGAGGGAGAGTAAAAAGACTAGGGGCCGTAAATGGCACCATATAAAAACAAGAACAAAATGCAGTATCTAAAATACAAATAAAGGTAACTTAAATAGTATTCAAATATGAAAGGGGTGGCTATTCTGTTGACTAACCCAAAACTTTTGTGGAAATGATTAAGCTTAATAGAGATGGATTCAGTAAGTATTATAAAAGAGTAATTTCCCACCTCTTCCCGGAAACCATAGTTTTATTCAAGTCTCAGGAAGACATTTGAGTCAAGGAGTGTAAATAGTTCTAGAATTCCTTTATTGGATCCTTCTCCTTCCAAGAAGCCTGGGTTGGGGGGCTGGGAGAACTAGGGAGTAATCAAAATGCAGGTGGGAACACTGAAATCCCACAAAAATGCTTCCAATCTGGTTGTGCCCAGACCTGCTAAAGCAAAGATTGTAATTCAAGAAGGCTTCATATTGAATTGTCTTTTTTTTTATTCCCCCCCCCCCCCACCGAAGGAACACCTGCAATTACAATCTTTCTTCCAAAGACAGCAGCTGCTCTGGGCCAGCTCTTTAGCGCAGTGACCAGACTCCCCAGGAGGGAGTAACCCTGGTGCCCAGAATTATTCTGTTCTTTCTGGAAGTTGTATTGTATTTTCTGTGCAAATATAAAACAAAGACCTAGATTGGCTTCTGCACCTCGTGACCATAATAAAACAACAGAGAAGGGAATAAAGAATGTCTAACTTTCTCCCTATCCCTTCTCTCTTGCTATGTCAGGTTCATGAGCCGTGGAATACACATAGTAATTTTGTAGTTTATCAGTAATTCATATTGTGAGTTAAGAATCCAGAGCCCTGAAGTGTAATGAAATTTTAGTACGTTTCAATTTTATAAACAGTTTCTGATTATCTAGTTTAGTCGGCTGAGCCGTTTGGTTTTCTCTAGCTTGCATTTTGACAGATATAATTTTGTTGTTGTTGTTACTTTCTCCCATAGTGAGCATTGAAATGGGAAGCAAACTTCTGAAGTGTCTTGTCCATTTTCCTTTCGGAAGTGGGTAATGATTCCTGAGGAGGTTAAAGTGCACTGGGGCTTTGTTTTTTTCTAGTTAAATTATTCCATCCTCAGAATATTTTCTTCTACTGTTTAAAATTAATATCTGATTAGGTATTATCTTAATGATAAGAATTCAGAATAAGAGCTGCATAGTAAAGTGGACTGAGGTAGGGGGATTGTATAACAATAAAAGAGTTTTTCATATTGCTTTTCAGAGAGAAAAGAGAATTTGGGGGAGGGGTGGGCAGGGAGGAAAATGTGCAACAATGAATGAATGGAAATCCAAAGTCTCTATAAACTTTCACTAAGATCTCAGAAAAGACTATTTTCTTCTGATTACCATAGGTAATTTAGTCAATTTTAATAGATTTCTTTAGATGTTTTCTTATTTGATCTAGTAAATCAAACTAGCTGAGATTCCTCTCAGAGAGGCTAGATAGGTAGGAGTTTGGAAGCTGATCTGAGGTGAAAGTGAAATGTCTTTTCCTAGATGAATGTTTTTCCTAAGTAAAAGTTGGTTATTTGTAAGACTTTTCCTAAGTAAGAGTTGGTTACTTGAGATTTAATTTTTTCATATTAAGAATTCATATATCATATATGAACTTGAAATTTTAATGCTGAATGAAATGCCACTATGGCAACTATTGTATGATCCTACTTACTGTTAATGGTGGTGGTATAATTTGGGTAACAGTGGTAATGGTGACAAGAGGAGCCCTGGTGGTTAAGAGCTCAATTGCTAACTCAAAGTTCAGTGGTTCAAACCCAACAGGTGTTTCATAGGACTTGTCTACTGAAAATAAGACAAGGATACACAAGGGAGCAGTTTTATCACATAAGGTCGCTTGGCTGAAAATGACAGCATATAAATAAACATAGTGGTGGCATATGAGGAACATATTCAGGGTCACTGAATTGTATGTGTAAAAATGGTTGGAAATGATAATGTATGTTATACAAATTTTTAGGACTATTTCTAGAGCTGCATTGCTTAAAGGTAATTTAATTAAAAGTACCATTTATCAGTAGGTCTGGAACACTCTTGGAAAAAGATCTGAACATTAAGACCTAAACTGTTAACATCCGGGCTCATGAAGCAAGATTAACTTACTGTTGGTCCTGTTTATCTTTCAGTTACCTTTACTTTCACTTTCCTCTTTCACTTACAGTTAATTCATCAGGAGGGAGCAATCAAAGGTCGATCATGTGGTTTTGTACAAGAATTTAAACCTGGGTAAATTGGCTCAGCTCATAGCCATATTAACTTGTTTCTCTGGTTTTTGTAGGGCATTGATGACATCACTGGTGAACCATTAGTCCAGCAGGAAGATGATAAACCTGAAGCAGTTGCTGCCCGGCTAAGACAATACAAAGTAGTGGCAAAACCAGTCATTGATTTATACAAGTGAGTGTACTTCCATATTTCCATGGTGATGGGCCAGCTAGAAACATAGAATCTGATAGGAAGTGTATTGAGCTATATCTTTTAAGCTATGAAAATGCTAAAATACTCAGAATTTAAAGGAAGTGCTGGCCTTCAAAGGTGAAATCCAGTACTTCCTCAAACTGTTAATGACAAAAGTAACTAAACCTGATCATATTGTTCTGCTTGTAAAATTGGATCTGAATGTATATTTTCTTAAGGTGGCCGAGATCATGGTTTGCCATATTCAATATCTAATTTGGAGAGATTAAAGGAGATTTTTGGCTGCTTATATTTGTAGGGAAAAACTTAAATAATAAACTGAAAATTCCGACGACTTTGGGGCCCAGGCGGATATTGGTCAGACCTGGTAGAGGGTGTGTTGAGTTGGACTTTTGAATGACAGTCAAATTGGACAGTGCCTTTGCTGTTCCAGCCAATTACCACCACAGGGAACACAGACCTAGTGTGGCCAGTGATTGCTGTTTTTAAAGAGAAACAGAAATACGACTCTGAAGGGAAAAATTTTTTTATATTGGCAACAAATTAAGAAAAATTAACAGCATGCAAGCCAAATAAAATCCATATGGTAATTTAAGACAGCAGTTTGCAGCTTTGTTATGAACATTATTTTTAAATGCCAGACTTCATGTATTATTGACTCAGACTTCATGTATTTCAGAGTGGAATTATAGGTTTTTTAAGAAAAAACAGTAATGTATATTTTACTTTTTTGGAAAATATATCTGTTTACATGCACAATTCATATACATTGTTTCATTTTATGGACATTGTGCTTTATAAAATTATTCACCTTTATTCTATGCCCACTGTCACCCGGTCTTCTTAGGTCCCCACTGGATCTATCTTAACTCTTTCAAGCCCTTTGATATCCCTCCCACCCTAACCCTTTGGACTTTTATGCACATCTTACTAGTTAACAATGGATTGAAAAATTGCTTACTAGCAAATGAATGGACTGAGAAATTGTGATACATTCACACATTGGAAAACTAGGCAGCACTCAGGAGCAATGATTTCTTAAAATACTGTATAACATGAGAGAGGCTAGAGAGAGCAGTAGGAAGAGTGAACTAAGTCAGTCTCATATAGATAGTTTGTTAAAAGTACATTACCAAGCCTTTCCCCCCCCCCCAAGGTGTGACCTTAAAACATCAACCCTTCAGTTAGCAGTTGATTTCAAATTATTTGTACTGTCCAGAGAGTCCACAGGCCTTATAAGCCTCATAACAAACTTAGGGCGGAGATTATGGTACACCAGTGGGTCATGGGTATTAAGAGTTAAAGTAGCAAAGCTTGTTTTGATTCCTTTTCAAAAATTTGTATCAGTGTATATTTGAGATTATTTCTGTAATATGATTGTTTTTCTTAAAAGGAGGCAAAAAGGCAGCATCATGGAAAGCATGCTAGATTTGTAATCTATATGGGTTTGTTTGTAGATATCCATTCTGAGTGAGTTCTGATATTTAATGATGTGTGATTGAACCATGACATGATGTTTTGAAAGGACATTTAAAATACCTTTATGTGTTGGACTTTGTTTTTCAGGCGCCGAGGTGTGCTCCATCAGTTTTCTGGGACAGAAACTAACAAAATCTGGCCCTATGTTCACATGCTCATCTCAAACAAGATCGTGACTGTTGAATCCAAAGAAGCATACAGAGCCTGTCCAATGGAATAGTCAGGAATATGTGATCTTTCTTCCAGTTGTATGTGAAATATTGGTGCCATGTACAAATTAGAAGCTAGCTGATACAGCTTGCAATGTCTAGTTTAAATGGTGAACTGATATGAAAACTAATGAATAAAAAGATTTAATGAGACGCTCTGCCTTTCAAAAGGAGAGGGGTACCTGTACATGTTTAAGATCTGCACAGATCTCAAGCTCTTCATGAGAGAGCAAGCGCAAATTGGATTTCAAATGATACATGGTCTGAGCTCCTGCTAATTTTGACACCCATGTTATTGCTCTCATAGCCTTTTTCCATGTGATATTATTGGTTTTTGGGTCTCTCTATCCCCTCAAAGGCTATTAAACTACAGGACCCTCCAACCCCAGTCCCAAGGGTTTTAGCCCAGGTCCTGCCTCAAGTTCTCTATGTGCCCTCTCTGCAAAATGGGTTGAAGCCAAATAATTATTTTCTCTGGTCTTGAGTGACTATGTCTAAAACTTTTTTTCCCAAGTCCTTAAGTAAGAATGGCAACTCTTCCACAGCCATGCTTCTTTCAGAATTTGGCTTTTACTATTTTTTTTTATTAGCTCTGTTATTTGCACATCTGTTTTCTTCTTTCTTGAGTGATATTGATGGTTGTAGCTTTTGGTCCTCTCAGGTTCCTTTTGTAAAGGCTGAATATATACTTCCCTTCGTGCACCAAGAATGAACTATGCAGAGGGTCTTACATTACTGGTAAAGAAAAAACATGGGAAATAACACCCACACGAATATTAAAGGATTGTGTCTCATGTGGCAGTAATAAGGTCCTATGAAATTACTGAACTGAAGGAATATTTTTGCTTTTTTAATTAGGAAAACAAAAATGTATTTTGAAAATACTGCTAAAGATGGTGATGACATTTTCTCCTGGAAATGACCCAGGCATATTATCAGTGGTAACAGAATGGAGCATATGGGGTTGAGGAAAATGTTGCACTGGCTGTGCCTGAACTGAGTATGACAGCTTTATGATTATGGGAAAACAAAATATTTTTGTCTATCCCAAAGATGCATTTTATGGGTTGATCATAAAGTATAGAAATAAAGATCATAATATTTTGTCAAACATCATTATAGCATGAACCGTTTATTAAGGATTTGGCTGCTTTCCAGACTTGCTCTTCTCTGGGAAGGACCATGAACTTTATTCCTGCTGCCTTAAAAAGTAAATACCCACAAATTCCACCCATCCTTCACTGCCCAAAATTTTACACATCCTTTCTTCATATACCCTGATTGTCCCCAGGGAAAATCCTACAGTGTTCCCAGGAATGTCTTACCTATATTTTCATAGTGGTGAGCACATCCTTGGTACCCAGCCCTTTCCATTTCTGCTCTGTTTTGTGCAGTAACATGCATCTACCTTACAAATACTGCTCAAATGCTTGGCAGTTTCTTTCCTTTTGTGTGAAAGTTCTCTAGCTGCCTTGGTAAAAACATAGAGCTGCCTCCTCTTCGTGTTCCTAAACACAGCACAATGGTTGTTTGAAGAGAAGCAACCTGTTCAGATCTATGAGACTTAACAATTTTGTTAGATTGACTTCCAAGCACTTTATAAGAGTCACATTTGAAGGCGTTGTGTTGAAATCTGGAGACGTTCAGGTAAAACCAGAAACAGATTTAATGCTCAGGTTACCTGGGGAAATAGGTGTAGAGAAAAACAACAAATCTGAGATGAGGAAATTGTATTTAGAGTACTACTACTTTTGTGATTATTTCTACAAACAAATCTAAAGTTTAGAGATTGTTGTGGTTATTATAAATCAGGAGAGGCAAATTTGTGCTTTTTTTTTTTTAAGCAGAAAAATCTTTAAGCCTGTTTTCTTCACTTCTTTGTTGGAGTGTTCTAGTCACTGCCTTTGGGGTTGAGAAGAGGTTTAGAATATGGCCTGGTCTTCTATACTGTCTATTCCTTCATCAATCCATTCATTCATCCTTTTTGCCCTCCCTAAGTGTCACTAAAAATGTGTCAACAGTGTTTGTTGGGTTTGCTGAGAAGTTGAGGGTCCTTTGCTCAGTAAGGCCAGTAAACCATTCTGTAGTACTTAAGCTCTTAAACTTATTTTATGTTCTGTAGCCTCACAAAATCTGTTTGGAATTTTATTGTTTGGTTTTGTTTTTTGGTGAGTTTGTTTTTTTTTTTTTTTCTTCAAATAATGGCTCTCATTTTCCTTTGAGCTTATAGAGGTTGCCTTGAATATGTTCACACACAAATTATAGGGACACTTTTTCTTGTTTTTCCTCCTAGCACCACACAGGTTCATGACATTGAAAGAAAGAGTACTTTGAATGGTCTGTGAAGTCCCACTATGCTTCACTTTCTTTGGTCCTAACCAGCTCTTAATTATAATGTGTTTGTCATTTATGGAGAACTTGAAATGCTGCTCTATTGAATACCCTCTAACACTAATGGAAGACTTAACTGGGTACTGTTTATTTATTGAGGACCTACTGAATGGTAAGGGCTTTCTTGAACATCTCATTTAACCTGTTAAGCATTCTGTGAAATAATCATGTTTATAAACAAAACCACCTGGATCAGAGAGGTGAAGCTTGCCCAGCATCCTGCTGTCAATATACAGTGTCGTCAGTTCTCAAACCTTGGTATTCCTTACTCTGAAACCCGAGTTTGCTCCCTATCCTGTTGCGGCAACTCCTGTTCTGGTGGTTCACGTGAAGTATTATGGTGGCATTCGCTTCTGAATAAGACTTTTATTTGTTGAAGCAAAGAAAGCTGCTAGAAGGGGAGTCTGGGCCTTTACCTCCTCCATAGGTAGAAATTTATAAAAGTGATTATAGTTGAGTAAGGCAGTCTATGGAGGAGGCAAGCTCTTGTTCCTCTTGCATGATTTTGGTGTCCATTCTCTTGTGTCCCTGACAGAACCTTTTCCCACCTGAACCATCCCCCTTTTTGGGACTTGCATATAGCTCTTTGATATAAACCTGATATTACCCACTTTTCTTTGCTGGGATCAAAAACACTTCCAAAAGAAGGCTCTTTCTAATAGGCTAACAGGTAAACAGGTAATTGCATACTAACTGTTGACGACTTAATCACCTTCCTTAAATTCCACATTAACATGGTTCTGAATGCCACAGCCAGGACTTTACCACCTAACACAGTGATCATGGTTTGGGGGGGAGGGAGAGAGCATACTGCTTGTCATCCAGGGAATTCGTTTCATTATGGCAGAAGCCAGGAGAGATTAGGTGATTACCTTATCCCCCACTCCCTTCTCCTCAGAACCATTTCTGTGCCACCTTACACCAGCCAAATGAGCTTCAGTGTCCCTCAGATTGCCTTGGTCTTTGAAAAAGGATGAAGGTGACTAGCCATAGGTGAGGAAGGATTCCTGCAGAGATGCTGCTGTGACTTCCCTAGCCTTTTAAGATGTCATCAGCAGTTTTAGAAAGGGCACTTTTAGGAAGAAAAATACCTGCCCAAATCATAAAATTAGGTTTTTATATAATTTGGCTCACTGAGTCAAAGTTTGATGTTCAACTTTGGCTGTTTTTATAAAACCAAAGAAATAAGAAAAGAAACAGATTTTTTGCTCAAAGAGTTTACTAAGGTACTAGGGGGTTTAAAAATCAAATTTCCAAATGTCCTATGTTATGTAAATGTTATGGTATGCTATGTAATATAAACCTGCCCTGTCCTGAGCCAATCTCACTCACTCCCATACACCTTTCTCCTTTGCCTCAGTTACTGTATCAATCCATCTGTCCCTCCACCCTTCCAAGCATGATGTCCTTCTCCAAGGTCTCACCTGTCCACATTCAGATGTGAGAGGGAGCATCAAAGTCCTAGCCTCCAGGGAGAAACTTGGTTTTACCTTCTCCAAAAGAGACCTGTTTTCTTTGCAGTCCATGGTATGCTACAGACCAGCTGATGAATTCCAACTGTGTGCCTTTGGGTTGGCAAAGCAAGTTTTTACCAACTAGGCTATCAGAACATATCTATGGTAGAGGTATCTTTACTTGGAGTGACACTTTATGCCAAGTGCACTAATTAAATCCTCTTCAGGAAAATAATAGATAGTATCTTAATTATCACATACCTCTGTGTTTAGAAACTGAAAAAAATTATCTTTAAACATATTTTCATGCACTTATGGGGAATTAGAAAATTCAGAAGGATGTTTTTGTACCTGTCCCCATTTGGAGCTTCCATCAGCACTGATACTGACATGTTAACTCCAGCCTGGGATCTTTACTTGTTATAATCTGGTGATGAGAGCCAAAAAGGTACCCAGTGAGTTGTGGTGGCAGTGACTTTGTGGATACAGAGTGTAGCTGTAGTATCCTGGATTATAGGCTCTTGAGGGCCGTTTGTTTCTCTCAGATGGAGTTTGTTCATTGTCTTTCATGCAATGATGTCCTTTTCTGCTACAATTGGTTTTGCCAAAGAGGCAAAGTAATAATCCCTTTACATACTTGGAATTACTCTCTCCATCTTCCTCATTCGCAGTAACTTCCCAGTCCACTTGAGATCTCTAAAGATGGACCTAGTTACAGAGACTTTGTTTCACATGGGAATGTGGTCTGGTCATAAGCTGTCATCCTTTCCTTACACAACCAATCCAGACTGATTTCAAGGTGAGAAATGTGTAAGGCCCAGATGTCAGGAAACTATGAAACTATGCATCATTTATTAATACGTATATAATCAAATCTGCTTTCTTCTGTTGAGACATATGTCATACCTTATCTTTTTTTTTAACATTTATTGCCAAAAGAAATGCCATTATCTGTGTATTTCAGAAATTTTCCCCACTTTGTGTGTGTGTGTGTGTGTGTGTGTGTGTGTGTGTGTGTGTGTGTAGCTGTTTAGTAAAATGTGTTTTAAAGGATGGATGTTCCTGTTTGGCATGGTTATGAATTTTTTTTCCTTTGGTAATAATAAAAGCTATTCCAGGAAATACACTAATTTTTAAAATTTTACCTTTTCAAAGGAGCAGTCTGT